AACACCGATACTCTGATATGTAGTTATAAGTGGCTGGGTAAGCCACAGGGGAAAATATTGCAATCATGCTGCTTAAACTTACCACTTAGATTCTAGATAGTTGTGGCTGGTGCTGACAATTCCTAAACTTGGTTACTCAGCTGCAAGTCCCATAAATCAAATGAGCCTACCCTCAAGTAAGTGTGTGTTGGATCACAGCTGTGCAGCTCAAACATGGATATATTTACTTTGAACTAAGGGTCTCTTACTTCAAGGACACATACTCCCCGGTCTGTGTATGTAGGATAGCAGTCTTACATATTTAATTGCCTGGGTTTTGTGATAATCTTACAGCATGCCTTTCCTGGCATAAGCTTCTCGACTTAGCATCTTCATCAAATGAGAAGTGTTTATGGCCTTATGCAGAACAGTTGGTCCTTGTTCTTACCTTTCAGGTAAGTGCAAGGACTGATCCATTTCTGGCGTTTAGCTTGGCTGCTGGAAGAAGGCAGATCCCTCAAATTGCCTGTCAGGAGACCTGACCAAGCAACTGAATCGAACATTCGCCTTCATGTGGCACTACTACACTGCAGCCATAGGTTCTTCATTTCCTGGTGCTCCTTTGGAAGATGTTAGACTGATAGCCACAGTGGAGCAGGGCTTTTTCACAAGTGTGGAATTGTGTCCTAAGATAGGCCCACCAGGTTCAGAGTGACTGTTATGGTTAAAGGATTTTTATTCTACCAAGTCCTTAGGGCAGAAGCAAGTATCTCATTCTTACCACTCTGTTTTTACCATTACTTTTCTGACACACTTTTAATAATGTCATTATTTGCAGCAGATGTTAAATGCACAGACCTTTATCCAGCAATGCATGGGTGTAGTTGCTGGGTGTAGCTTTGTCATTCAGCTGCATCAGTCAGCTGTTGGGTGGGGTGGACACACATGGAAGGAGGGAGAGGAGGTGGCTTATGTGCCAGTGGCCTTCTCTCTTCCATCCATGTAATCCAAAGGCCTGCTGCTGTCCAGAAAGAATGGAAGGGGGTGAGCGCAGCAAAGGCCCTGCAAGGAACTCCAGGCAGCCCAAGGAGCAGCCAGGAAGCCATTTTGATCTGATTTAGGGCAAGGGCAAGGGATGCGGGTGGCGCTGTGGGTTAAACCACAGAGCCTGGGACTTGCCAATCAGAAGGTCGGTGGTTCGAATCCCCGCGACAGGGTGAGCTCCCGTTGCTCGGTCCCAGCTCCTGCCAACCTAGCAGTTTGAAAGCACATCAAAGTGCAAGTAGATAAATAGGTACCGCTCCGGCGGGAAGGTAAACAGCGTTTCCATGTGCTGCTCTGGTTTGCCAGAAGCGGCTTAGTCATGCTGGCCACATGACCCGGAAGCTGTCTGCCGACAAACGCCGGCTCCCTCGGCCTATAGAGCGAGATGAGCGCGCAACCCCAGAGTCGGTCACGACTGGACCTAATGTCAGGGGTCCCTTTACCTTTACCTTAGGGCAAGGGGGTAATCTGATGTGGAACGGAGCAAATTAGCTGTCTGGTACCATGGCATGCCTCTGGAGGCACACTGGCACCTGCAGGCACCACAGTGGCAACCCCAAGATTATCCTGTTTTATGCTTGCTGCTGCTCATGTCAGTGAGAACATGCTGAGAAGCAGAAACGTCTATAACAAAAGCCCTCTTCAGGTTTTCAAAGTAAATGTGGGATACAGGACGGCAGGTGTTGCGCGTACAACCCCAACCTCATCAAGACCTTTTCATGTCAAGTGGGAACATCTGAGGGGACCTCTGAACCATGTCCAGCTGGATGCTCCACATGATCAGGAACCTTGAGTTATCTGGGCTCCAGATTGTCCCCCTCAGAACTTCCCACTTAATACTGGAAGGTGAGGGTGGTGCACAATGGATGGAGACACTGGGTACAGGGTTGATGTGGCCCATCTCTGCCACCCCACACTCTCCTCACCAGTGTGGTGTAGTGGTTAAGAGCAGTAGACTAGTAATCTGGTGAACTGGGTTCATGTCTCCGCTCCTCCACATGCAGCTGCTGGGTGACCTTGGGCTAGTCACACTTCTCTGAAGTCTCTCAGCCCCACTCACCTCACAGACTGTTTGTTGTGGGGGAGGAAGGGAAAGGAGATTGTTAGCCGCTTTGAGACTCCTTCGGGTAGTGATAAAGCGGGATATCAAATCCAAACTCCTCCTCCTCCTCCTCCTCCTCTTCTTCTTCTTCTTCTTCTTCTTCTTCTTTTTCTCACATGTTGTTTGAATACCAGAATTGCGCTTATGTTTCAGTATTAAATCAACACTGGCAAAAAAAAAAAAAGTTTAGGTTATTATTACCTCAGATTGTTTGACAATTTACAGTTGTATGTCTCCAGTGGGTGGCGGAGTAGGAAATTTGTAAGTACAGGTGCAGGTGTGGTGCAGGTGCAACAGCAGAGCCAAGTTGTAATTACTTTCCCTTTGCAGCAACCGATTGGTCCAGCCCATTTCTCAGCCTTTCCTCCACTTCTACAGTCACCCTTCCCTCAAATATCTGTGAAACCATAAGCTCTGTGACATGCAAATAAGAATGAACTGAAATATTTATATGGATGATGAGAATCTTCCTACCTTGGATACAGTTTTTAAAAATTAATAAGGTATATAAACCCACAAACTCCTTGGAATGAGGCATCTTATAATGAAACAGTGTCATTCGATAGCTCCACCCAGGGATAAACTTGCACAGTGCTCACTTCTTCACTGGTAGGGACCTTGCTGTGATTACAAACTGAATGATCTAAACAATGACAACAATTTATTTATACTCTGCCCATCTGGCTGGGTTGCCCCAGCTACTCTGGGTGGCCTCCAACACACATAAAAGCACCAAAGTCACAGTAACTTTAAAATAAACAACTTATATCAAATAAAGCAATATTCAATAATCCATTAGAATCGACATAAATGGTAAACAGTAAAAATAAACATCAGCAAATAATAATTATCACTTATCAGTTACAATAAAGAATTACTAACCTATAATCACTTATCAGTTACAATAAAGAATTACTAACCTATAATCAATAAAAAATAACAGCAAATCACAATGCATAAAATACCACAAAACTTACAAAACCATGTCAAATGATCAAACTGAGAAACAAGAGCGCACAACTTATTAAATTAATTTTTTAAAAAATATAATCCCTGAACTTCTCTCTTCCTAGCTGCTTCTGCTGTTCTTGAAGTTATGGTCTGGGAAAGGGTTTTGGGGATGGAGGGTGTGGCAAAGCAGGATACAAAAGCCATTGCCTGATGAACGTACCTTATTTTATTGGCATCAGTTAAAAGATGTGCCAGTTTCTGAGTCCACCAGACACAGAAACCTGAAGGCTGGAAGGGGAGAAGGGGAAGAGAAGGAAAAGGTGTTGCACTGGGCCTGATGGAAAAACTCAAATGTGCATTTTGTAACTTTTAAGATGGAACAGAGAAGGCATTGTATAAACATAAATAGATTGGGCTGTACCTGGAAGAAAAATACTGTAGACTTGCCCAGCTGTGACCAGCTTCGGGTCAAAATGCACACATTAATTTAGTCTTGTAGCCACCCTTTTCCACTGTTTGCCCATACGTTGCTGTTTGGCCTTATCTCAACTAGTTGGCACCTGTTGGCAGGTTGGGCCAATCATCTGTGAAGTCCTGGTTGCCAAGTGACTTGGTGCAAGTTTGAAAGTCATTGCCCTCAGCTGTGATGGGCTGTGCTATGGGACATGAATCTGTGATGTTTGAAAAAAGTGTGCTTGGCTATCCAATTTAGAACCGATAGGTGATATTTAAGTTCTATGCAGAGTAAAGATAAAGGTAAAGGTAAAGGACCCCTGACAGTTAAGTCCAGTCGCGAACGACTCTGGAGTTGCAGCGCTCATCTCGCTTTACTGGCCAAGGGAGCTGATGTTTGTCCGCAGACAGTTTTTCTGGGTCATGTGGCCAGCATGACTAAGCTGCTTCTGGTGAACCAGAGCAGTGCACGGAAACAATGTTTACCTTCCCGCCGGAGCAGTACCTATTTATCTACTTGCACTTTGATGTGCTTTCGAACTGCTAGGTTAGCAGGAGCTGGGACTGAGCAATGGGAGCTCACCCTATCGTGTAGATTTGAACCACCAACCTTCTGGTTGGCAAGCCCTAGCCTCTTTGGTTTACACCACAGTGCCACCCGCAGAATAGACACATTGAAATGAAGGAGCATAACTTGTTGTTGTTGTTTAGTCATTTAGTCGTGTTCGACTCTTCGTGACCCCATGGACCAGAGCACGCCAGGCACTCCTGTCTTCCACTGCCTCCCGCAGTTTGGTCAAACTCATGCTGGTAGCTTCGAGAACACTATCCAACCATCTCGTCCTCTGTCGTCCCCTTCTCCTTGTGCCCTCCATCTTTCCCAACATCAGGGTCTTTTCCAGGGAGTCTTCCAGGAGCATAGCTAAGGCCCAGTAATTCCCATGGGTCTACTCTAAGTCAAACTTAGTTGAATACCATCCCATGTGTGGGTCTCACCCAACAAACCCCATCAGTGAAAGCTCTGTGGAAGGACTTCCACTTCTAAGGCAGGGCTTTTTGGCTCCTCCCCCTGCAGTTGAGTCAGGGGGTTGGGATAATTCCTCCCAGAACAGCACATGAGGAAGGACGTGGTGTATTGTTATTTCTGGTGAGCTGGAATGCTAGCACAGATGGAACAACTGGAAGAGGGTGAAACTGAATCCCACCCCATCTACTGAAATCCAGTCCAACATACTTGTTCCCTATATCTGTACAGTTCATCAGCTCTGTTGTGGGAAAGCATTAAACACCTGCAGGAATGCTGTGCCGCAGTTTCTAAAATGTACAAATGTGTTAAGTCTCACCGCTACTCCCTTTTTGATGATCATTATAATTGCTAATCGCTTGGCACGTAAGGAATCTCCCAGCGACCTACAAAAATTTTAAAGCATTAACCATCCTCTGCTAAGTTATTTTTGTTTTTTAACCTTCAGACTGGAAAGCTCTGTTGGTTAGAGTGTGATGCTGATAATGCCATGGTTGCAGGTTCGATCCCTGTTTGGGACAACTGCGTATTCCTGCTTTGCAGGGGGTTGGACTAGATGATCCTCAGGGTCCCTTCCAACTCAACAATTCTATGTTTAAATAAAAAAGAATAATACATTACCCTAAAAAACCCCAGAATATCCCATCAAACTGACCAGCAGCAGGGTGGAAAAGCACTGCTTACTTGGCTTCCTAACATGGAGGTTGCTGCAGGTGTGGTGCAGGTGCAACAGCAGAGCCAAGCCAACTCTCATGCTGCTGTGCCCACATTGCAGTGACCTTCCCCTGCCCCCTGCCCCCTGCCTCTCCCTTCTCCCTTCTCCCTTCTCCCTTCTCCCTTCTCCCTCTCAGTTGCTGGCAGCAACCTCCCCGTTGGGAAGCCAGATGAGCAATGCTCCCCAATCCTGCTCTGCCAGCTGCAATAAAAACAGACCCAACAAAACAGCTGCACAAACATATAATCAGTAAGCAGTGAAATCATGACAATCTGTCAAATGCCTGGGAGAAGAGATACATATTTACCTGGCTCTGAAATTAACGTTTTGCCAGGCAGACCTCGCTGGGGACAACATTCTATTTGTCAAAGTCTTCTACCTTCCTTGTGTACTGCTTATGGAAATGTTAGAGGGTCTGAAATGTGAAAAATATAAAACACTCAGAAAACATAAATAGTAACGGCCACAACCTGAGCTTGCAGCAAGGCATTCTGATTTGAAACCCTGTACCGGAATTCCCATTGTTCATTCTGCTTAGCAACCAAGTTATGATACTCGTAAATGAGTAATCATTCTTGGCCAGTCATAGCTCAAGACAAGGGGATATTTGTTTAGTGAGCCCTTAGTTATTGATTAACTCCTCAAGCGCAGACTCATGTAGTGGTTGATAAGGGAAGAAAGTGCATCCAGGGAGATGGAGCCACACCAGCAGCTGTTATCAAAGGGACTGGGGTTGCCTATAGACAAAAGCAAATTATCACTTTAGATCTGTGTAGCTGTATGTGCAATGACAACTGCGAGTTTTAAAGGGAAGGTACTAGCAAAATAAGAGGATAAGCAATCCTTTGAACCTGGCTGGGGTGGAGTGGTGGATGGGGACCTAAACCAATACCATGACCAGGGGTTGGAGTAGGGAATTAATCCAAAATTTCTATTGTGGTGTCCAAGTGTTGATGCATACCCATAATTAAAAATACATTAGAAAGTGCAAGTTACATACACACAGTGTGACTCCAAAATGCGAGCGCTTAATCCGGAGACTGGAATCTTTGGTTGGATCCGCTTGCTCCTTTCCTTGTTTAGCCCTGACTTCTGCTTCCTTCCTGGCAGTTTTTTTAAAAAATACTCTCTGTGCTTGTGTGCTTTTGTATGTTAGGAGTAGGCTGTAACGAGCAAGAGGTGCCGTTTTCGCATTCCTGTGCCATTTTTGTCAGTTGGAGGGTATTGATTTCTCTCCCTCATTTATCAGAATGAGTCGATAGAGATGATGATGGTTTGCTAATCGCTAACTTATTGCAGTGTTCATTGAATTGCTTGGTTGGCTGCTATAGGCTCTCTTGCCTTGCCTTCAGGCTGAGAGGAGAATCATGTGGCTTCCCTGGATTTCTGATCAGATGGGAAAGTGTGATTCACTCCCCCCCCACACTACTTTTTCTCAGTAGACAATCATCTGCACTTTATCTTGAAGGAATCTATAGTCCCAAGAGAATTCATACTCAACATCCCTGGCTGGGCTGACTTAGGATCCAAACTAAGCTTGGCACTGGTGGATCTTGAAGATACACTAGGACCTGGAAGATACACTCAGCCCAGGGGTGGCCAAACTTGGCCCTCCAGCTGTTTTTGGACTACAACTCCCATCATTCCTAGCTAACAGGACCAGTGGCCAGGGATGATGGGAATTGTAGTCCAAAAACAGCTGGAGGGTCAAGTTTGGCCACCACTGACTTAGCCCTTCACACAATTCCGGTTGCAAACTGGGGTGTGTTCATGGACCCTAACACTCTGTCGTGCTCCCAATAGCCTGTTCTTGCAACCCTCCTCATGTTGAAGCTGAACTTCTGCAGCCAGGGACCCTGCTGTAGACTTCCCACCCTATTGAGGTCCCTGATTGGAGGATTCAGTATCACACAAGGCTCCTCAATGAGCAGAAAACTGCTACTACAGAAGTTACAGCTGAATACTGACTCATAGCTCCATCTGTACTCATTTGCCCTCTTCATATGAGCAATGACTGAAGTGGTCTCAAATGCAACTTTATATGCAGGAGGCAGGAACAATTCCTTCTGTGTTGAGCTCCCTTCTCTTGAACAGCAAAAGGAAATCTTGAAAAAGTGAGCACATACCACAATCTTTCTGCCACAGAGCCTGGAAATCAAAATCCTATTTCTTTCATGTTGTTTACTTGCTTAAACTATCATGTATTAGAAACCAAGCTTAATCTGATTAGTAATACTTCTGGCATAGCGTATATGGATTATTTTTTTTTTTTTAAATCATATTTATTAAAGTTTCCAAAAATATAAAAATACAAAGAAAAAAAAGAAAAAGAAAAAGAGATATTTAAAAACCTTACTTTCATTGCCTACTTTCTGGGACTCCCCCTCCCCCGACTGTAGTCCCCTTTCCTTAATTTAGTTCTACAAGCTCTCACTCCCAATTTGAAGCTTAATTTGTTTAACCCACTATCCAAATTGAATTGTACAAATCTTACCACCGTCCCACATCATAAACAAGAAAAGAAAAAGATTTTCCCCAAGATCCACCCCAGTTCCTTCCACGAATTCCCTTTTTTAAACACGTCCAATCAAAATAAAATGACATGCGTAAGTTATGTAAAAAATAAAAATAAAAGATATAGAAAAATTCAAAAGATGGTTACACAGCCTTTGGATTTCAAATCTCCCCTTCCCCGGTTTGAATTCCCCATATCCATCAGTCTATGCATTATCAGCTTGGAAGTCTCAATTCATGACCAAATTTCTCCCCGATTCCATCTTGCCGGTTTTCTTTTAATTTATTAATAATATGTAACTTCAAGTGTCCAATCTAACAAAGGCCTTTAATTTCCTTGATCTTTACCACTCCTCCCGTTGTTCTTTCCGTGTCGTAATCAGTCCTTTGTTCTTCTTTTCCTCACTTTCTCAGGTTTCTTGTCCTGTTCAGCTGCTAAAACTTTCTAATTCAGAAATCTGGTATCTCTGCAGAGGTTTGTTATTCAGGAACAAAAACTTACGTCCAGTCCCTTCCTTTCTTCAATAGAAAATTCTATTGTCTCCTTTAATGTAAATACCTCTGTAGACAAAATACTATTTCAGTTTTGCAGCTTTCCCAAAAGATAACAAGTCCTGTGCGGATCCCAGAGTATTTTTCCACTTACGACCGTTCTTGTAATATCCCGAAACCCCTCTAGGGGATTGTAATAACTTTGTATCCTCTAATCCAAAAGTCAAATTGTTGCTTATTTTCCAACAGTTTATATCCATATTGTAGCAAATTGTAGCAAAATTAACCGGCAAAGTCCTCATAACAAAGTCCTCTTTATATTCTCCCACTTTGACAGCCACTTTGACAGCTGTCAAAGTCTCCGTCTCTCTTCACCAGGCTCCACGAATCGCCCCGGTTCCCAGGGGGGGGGGTTGCATTTTTTCTTCTCACCCTCCACTCTTCTCCTCCAGCACAGTTCTTATAATTTCCCATCGTGAAATTAATGGTTTTTATCAAGAATATACTTCCCTTTGGACCTTGGTTACCCAGTCCTTGTTTTGGAATGCTTACAGTAGGGGGATTGACTTCCTTTTAAATCGCCCCGCTCGTGCCAAATCCGAAATTTTGAACCCGGTTTCCCAATTACTCACGGGTTGTTGTTAATAGTCCAAATTTTCAATGGAAGAAGTCAGCGCTCTCCGTCGAATGGCATGCGGCTGCGCTCGGCAGGGAAAGCAGAGGACTCAAAGCACCACGCCGCTCCCGGCACCCGATCCGAAGCCTTTAAAAGGCTCCTTCACGCGTCGGGAGGGCGCTAAGGGTGCCAGCCGAGTCACCCATGTCCACGGACTCCGTGCCCGTGGTTTTTCAGGGTCCCCGCGTCGCCGGCGCGGTAGGACCCAGCCCCTGCCGAGCAGACTCCCTCCGGAGCTCGGAGGGAGTCCGCCATTCGGCGATGGCGCCAACCCGGAAGTCCTGGCATAGCGTATATGGATTAGAGGTTGTTTTATAATTTAACAGTATGCAACATTAGAAGGATCTTTTTGACTTAAAACTTTTCAGCTGTCTTTTTTTTAATGCCTAGGAACTCTGTTATCAGTTTTTGCTTCCATTCCAGTTTAAAATCAGATCCTACATCAATTTAAGTTATTAACAGAGGCGAAAGAAAGAGGAGGCTTCGCTCTGCCAGATTTGAAATTATATTATGAAGCATCATCTCTGTGTTGGTTGAAAGAGTGGATAAAATTAGAAAACACAAAACTGTTAGATTTGGAAGGATTTGATAACAGATTTGGATGGCACACGTATTTATGGTGTGAGAAGAAGAAAAATCATAAAGGTTTTGAGAACCACATCTTCCGGAGATCTTTAATTGAAATATGGGATAGGTCCAAAAACCTACTAGAACCAATAGTTCCACACTGGTTATCCCCGTTAGAGGTTATGAGTGTAAAGAAAATCAATATGAGAGGGAATTGGATTACATATGGTGAGTTGATAGTGAAAGAAGGAGGAAAATGGAAAATGAAACCTTATGAACAAGTAAAAAAGTATGTATATGATTGGTTGCATTACTTTCAAGTAAATGAAATGTTTAAAAAGGATCTTAGAGAAAATGGATATGTTGAAAAAGATTCAAAATTTCAAATAGAAATAATAAGTGATTGTAAAAGTTTATCAAAAATGTACAAAATATTGTTGGAATGGCATACGAAGGACGAGGAAGTCAAGTCGGTTATGATACATTGGGCTAGAGATTTTGGATATAATATACAACTAGATGATTGGGTAAAAGTTTCCTGCTTGGCAGGGGGTTGG